CACACAGTACTGCCCCGCCCTCCACCTTCCAGCCCCATCTCTTCGCCTTGCCCCGCCTCTCCTTCTTCCACGCTCCCCGCCCCCGGCTCCACGCCTTCCCCTGCCATTTCTGCCCTTCCCACCTCCCTTTCTCTGTGAGCTTCCTCCGGCCGTGTCCATCAAGCCACCCACCCCTTCTCCTCTCACCCATCCACCCCCATCCATAGCGTTGGCTCCTCCCCTCCCCGCTCAAATCTCCCCCTCTTCATGGCTGGTACGGCCCAGCCCGGCGCTGGGGGTGCGGTTCCACCGGCCTCCTCAGCTTCCCGGGCTGCCCGCGCTGGCAACCTGCCCTCCCTGAGCTTGAACTTCACCATGATGGATGTCTCCGGAACGGATCGCTTCGAGTCGAAGCTTCATGCCTTCGGCTCGTCTCTGCTTGCCCGGTCGATCCTCTCGCCGGCCGATGGCGCGCCCAATGGCGCCCGAGGAGGAGGTCGGCCAGCCGGCCGGGCTGGACCAACCATTCCTGCCACCGACCAGCCAATCAACCTCTCGGTCCTAGTGGACGGGTTCCTCTCGCTCTACGAATCCTGCTCCAATCCCCAGCTCATGGGTGACAGCCAGATTGCTCGCTTTGTGGACACCTGTGCGCACCTTTCCCCTCCTCCCTGCAACTTGCCCGCCCCCTCGGCCGCAATGCCGGCACTGGACCCTGACCACCTCTCCGCCGCCTGGCCTCCCCAGTCCGCCCGGCGGTCGACGAGCTCCATGAGCAGTTGGCCCCGCTCCGGCTGGAGTCATACATGTTCCTCGCGGTCATTGGTCGCGGCTCCTGTGGCGAAGTCCTGCTGGTTCGATCGCGCGTGGATAACCGCCTTTATGCTCTCAAGGTCCTGAGCAAAAATGAACTCCTCCGGCGGCATGGGGTGCGTGTGACCTTTGGGGGCTTTTTCCCCCCTGCCTCATTGGCTTCCCCCCCCCCCCCCCCCGCCCAGGGGACTTCATCCACCTGCCCTCCGGGCGTCTTGCTGATCCTCTCCCTCCACCGTGCCCTTTCGGCGTGTCGCCCGCACAAAGCGTGCCATGTTCTTCGAGGAGCGCCAAATCCTCCAGACGTTGGGCTCCTCGCATGCCGCCGCCACCGGGCACTTTGTCACTCGCTACCATGCGGCCTTCCAGGATGCGGCGCACCTTTTCCTGCTGATGGACTACTACCCGGGTGGTGATTTGGCCGCCCTGCAGCGACGCATCCCGACCAATCTCGATGAGCAGGCAGTGCGCTTCTACATTGCGCAGCTGGTTGTCGCCCTGGAGGCTCTGCATGAGGCGGGCTTCATCCATCGCGACTTGCGCCCGGACAATGTGCTCATCGATGCGGATGGCCACGTCCGCCTGGCGGACTTTGGCGTGTCCATCCCGGCCGCCAGCAATGCCGGCTATCGGCCGGCCGTCTTCCACCAGCGGGCCGGCTCATCCAGCAGCATGGTCGCACCGGTGCCCACCCCGGCCGCACCTCTGCCCTGCCGGTCCGACGTGCAAGTCGTCGGCTCCGGGGAGTATCTCCCGCCCGAGGCCCTGGGGCTGCTGTTTTCTTCGCAGCCGGGCACCAGTCGGCCGGGCCCTGCCGCCGCGTCCACCGGCGCCGGTGCCACGTCCTCCGTTGTTGGCTATGGTCAGGGGTCCGACTGGTGGTCGCTCGGTGTGTTGGCCTACGAATTGCTCATCGGCTGGACCCCCTTCTATCCGGATGAGGATTTCATCGACGACGATACCCCGGCCGACCAGCCCCTGCTGAACACCTACCAGAAGCTGGAGCGCTTCACCGAGCATGTGATCTTCCCGAAGGAACGCCTCATCAGCGCCGAATGCCGGGACTTCATTCGAAGCTTGCTGTCCACCTACGGCGAGCGTCTTGGTGTGGCCGGCGGCGCGGCCGCCGTTCGGGCACATCCCTGGTTTGCTGGCATCCCGTGGGACCAGCTTCGCACCATGGCTCCGCCTTTCGTTCCGGATGTCCTGGCTCCGGATGACATTTCCAACTTCGACCTCCAGGCTCTGGAGGAGTCCCGCTCGCATAGCGTCGTGCAGCTGGCGGCCTTTATGGCCGGTGCGACCGCCGGATTGGGCCCCCTCTCGGATCCCTCCTCCGCCTCTTCCTCCTCCCCCTCCCTGGGCGGCAGCAGCAGCGGCAGTAGCAGCGGCGCCGGGTCCCCCGGGTCCCCGGGGCTGCCCTCTCGGCGTCCCGGGACCGGGGCCTCCGGCAGCGGCCGGGCCACCCCCTCGCATGCGGACATCCTGTCGACCATTCGCTCGCAATTGGCCTTTGTCGGGTTCACACATGCCGCGGCCATGGACGGCTTCCTGCGAAGTGTCTTGCGCGCGGCCGATGGCGGCCGGCCGACATCCCCCCTGCGGGCCTTCCCTGCTGGCCTGCCGCCGCTGGGCTTGCGCCCTGGGGGGTCGGCCACGGCTACCACCCCCGGCGCGGTGGGCGCCGCTGCGGCCTTCTCACCCCAAGACCAGGCCGACTTGCGTCAAGAACGGGACCGCCTCGGGGCTCTTTGCCAATCGCTGCAACAGGAGCTCACTCGCTTGCGAGAGCAGCTGACCCGAGCCAACCCGCCGGCCGGCGATCTGTCCGGCCTTCTGGCCATGGACCAGGCCAATGGCTCCGAGCCGGGTGCCCTGCCGGTGGAGTTGCTCCAACATTTGAAGCCCCTGGAATTGGCATTAAATCAAGAACGTGCCCGATCCGGGAGGCTGAAGGCCCTCCTGGAGCAGGAGGAAGCCGAGCATGATCGCCTATTGGCCGACATCGAGCAGAAGGTGGCGGAGTTCGGCCGCTTCCGCCGGCAGTATGATCATTTGGTGGCCGAGCGCCGCCGTGGGACCGAGGAATTGGATCGCACGGTGGCCGAGCGAGACGCCGCGCGCAATGAGCTGGAAGCCGTTCGGCAAAGTCGCCTGGCTTTGGAAGATCGCGTGTCGGCCCTGGCCCGCTCGCTCCATGAGAAGGAGGCGGCCCTGGAACGCCTGGCAGCCGATGTGAGCCAGTCCTCGCAGCAGCTCGAAGGCCATCGAGACCAGCTGCTGGGTGATTTGCAAGCGGAACGCCGGCTGCTTGCGGAGGCCCGCTCGCATGCGGCCGTCTTGTCGGCCCGCGTGGCGGCATTGGAGGCCCGCGAATCGGCCCGCGACTCGAGCCTCAGCGAAAGCCAACGTGCCAAGGAGCTGGAGGATGCGCGGCGGCGCTTCGAGGTGATCGCCAATCGCCTGACTCTCGAACGAGACAATGCCCTGCACGAGGCGGCCGCCGTGCGCCGGGAGTTGGCCGATTCGCGGGAGCAATTGTCGTCCTTGAAATTGGCATCCCGCGGTGATCCGGCCAGCACGCCGGATGACTCGGTAGCCCGGCTGGCGGAGCTTGAGCGCTTGGTGCAAGCGCGTGATGCGCTCATCGCCGACCTGCGGGCGGCTCTTCAGGATTCGGAAAACTTTGCGGATGAGGTGGAATCCACCATCGCCGTGGTCGGGGCCATCACCATTGATGACCCGCGTGCGCGCTTGGATCTGGAGCGCAGCCGCCAGCGGGACTTGCAGTTGGAGGTGGAGGAGGCCCAATTGGCCCGGCTGGCGGCCGAGGCGCGTTTACACTCGCTGGACAGCGCGCGCCAGGCCCAGGAGCGCCAGTTTGAGCGTGACCGCGAGGCCCTGGAGGCCGCCAATGAGGAGGCCCGTGCGGAGCTCAACCGACGCATCCATGCTGAGCAGCAGCGGGCAGCCGAGCTGGCCTCGCGCTTGGAGGCTGCCCTGTCAACGGCCTCCTCGTTGGAAGCCTCGCTGGAGACCCAGCGCGACCAAGCCAAGCTGCTCAGCGAATCGGTGTCGCAGCTGTCGCAGGATGTGTCAGCCGGTGAGACGGCTCTCCGGACCAGCCAGCGAACCATCCAAGATCTGGAGACGCGCATTGCTGAGACCCTTGCCGAGGCCGAGGCCGAGCGCGATCGCATGGAGAAGGAACACCAGGCGGCATTGGAGCAGGCTGCCCAGCATTTGGCCCGGGCGCAGGCGGACGCGGCCAAGGCCCGGCAGGATGCCGAAGACCTGCGCGAGGAGCGGGACCACCTTCGCCGACGGCTGGAGGAGCAGGAAATGGCAAGTGCCCATTTGTCGACTGCCACGGCCACGGCCGGCGGCCTGGCCGAGCCGCTGTCTCCACGGGGGATCCTGTCGCCGGGGGCCGGGGGCACGCCACTGTCGCCTGTGGGCGGCCGGCCTGGCCGGCCGCTTGTACGTGCCACCGGTCCAGGCGGGCTGCCCTTGTCACCGGGCGGCGCATCTGGCACTGGGTGTGCCGCCTGTGCCGGGCAGCCGCCCACCCAGCAGGCCCAGCAGGCCCAGCAGCAGCAGCAACGCCGTGAGCGGGAGCTGCGCGAGGAGCTGGACCGCACCTTGGACTCCAGCCGGGCCATGGAGTCGGAGCTGTTCCGGTCCCGGGTGGAGGTGGATGACTTGCGCACCGAGCGCGATGACCTCCTGCGTAAGGTGGAAACCCTGCGCCAACAGCAGAAGGCGTCGGCCGCGGCCGCGGCCGCGGCAACTGCCAGCATCGCCCCCTCCTCCGCTTCCTCCTCCACCTCTTCCTCCTCCTCCTCGCTGGCGGGTCCGGCTCATGAGCCGACAACCCCGACGCGTGGCCGGCGCCCAGCCACCGGCGGCACGGCCTCACCGTCGTCGGATGCGCCGACCCCGGCTTCGGTTCCTGCACAGGCCATCGCCCAAGCCCCGGCCGCCGCGTCTTCGGCCGGCACCTCGGCCACATCCGCCACCGATGCCAAGGGGACTTTCTCCCCTCGCAGCCCGTCGGTTCGGCGGATTGTTGTCCCGCGGCACCTGCTGTCGGATAATTTCGAGATCCGCTCGCCGGCCGATCGGGTCACTAGCCCGGCCTCTTCGAGCGGGGCCACCGCCTCGGCCGCTACCGCGGACGATCTGGCCTCCCTGCATCAGAAGGAGATTGATGAGATCGCACGGCGGTCGCAGCTCCGGCGGATGCGCAATCGCATGCACGAGATTCAGGACGAAACCGCCAAGGACCCGGCGCCGGCTAATCCGATCGACGGAAGCGCCAGCCCCTCTAAATTGGACGACTGAGGCACACCAACCGCGCGACACGCCCCGACAAGGGGGGGGACTTCTCTCGGCCGGGCTTCTCTCCAGCCTCGGCTGTTCAAGAGTATCCCCCCATCCTCCTGAGACCCATGCACCCCCATACACCCGAGCGTGGCCACTCCAGGGGTGGGGGGGGGGGGGGGGGGGCCGGAGATGTCTTCCTTCTGGCAGCGCTGGTGCTCCCCTTTCTGTGGGGCGGGGCGGTCTCCCCGTCTCTGCGAAGCACACGAACCCTCGCCCACCAATGTACTTGTATAATACAGCCCCCTTCCCCCTACACACAGTGAGAGAGAGTGAGAGAGAGAAAAAAAAAGACAGAAGAAGGAGGATCCGTACTTTTCCCCCTCCCCGCAGGTGGTACCGCCCGGATGGCGCCCGCCGCCTGATTGCTATGTCCCTTCATTGCCCTCGCTGCTCGCTCACTGCGAAGTCCTCGCAAACCAGGCATGTGGCGGGCCACAGGGGAGCATGCCCCCTTTCGAGATCAGAAGGCTTTCCGCGGGCGGCCTCCTCGAGCCACGAACCATCGCCAACAGAGGGGCGCGTGGCCGATGGCGATGCAGCTGCCTCGGGTTTGGAGGAATGCCCTGGTCGGGGAAGCGCTCCTGCCTCTCTCTCTCTCAGGGCGAAAGCCCGAGAGCATGGCGCAGGGGGCGCGGAGACGGCGGCAGGCACCTCGGGCGGTCGCAGGTGGGCAAAAAAACTAAAATACAATCTCCCATACCGGGACTCGAACCCGGGGCGCGTGGGTGAAAGCCACGTATCCTAACCACCTAGACCATATGGGATGTAGTACCCAACGGGGGCGGCATGGGCTATTTATACGTGTTGGTTTGTGGGATATCGCGAACAAATTTATTCCCATTTCCCATGGTTCCCTGCAGATGAGATCACCGTGTCCGAGTGGTTAAGGAGTCCGATTAGAAATCGGATGGGCTCTGCCCGCGTAGGTTCAAATCCTGCCGGTGATGCATCCTTTTGACCCGGGCAGGACCATTTTTAAGACGTGTCCCCGGCCGCATTTTGTCCCTACCGCGACCGGCCCAGTCCGAAGGATTACCATCCCGGGAGAGTGGGGGGCGGTGGGGAACAACGCCTGCGAATAATGCCACACGTCTGTGTATGTGTGTGTGTGTGTGTCTGTCTGTCTGTCTGTCTGCACGGTGTAGGCCCCGTGTGCCTCGGTGCCCCCGGCTGCACGGCCGCGGTCTTTGGGGGGCCCGAAAAAGCCCCTGGCCAAGGAGAGGCTGGCGTTGGGACGAAACCCACCCACACGGGCCGCCTTTTCTTTGCATCCCCGTGGCAAGGGGGCGTGTATGGCCGGGGGGATTTTCCCCGCGCAACGCCACTCCAAGAGGTCTGCGGGGCCGACACGACCACACCCTGTTCGCGGAGGTCTGCACACACACACACACACACACACACACACACCGGCCACATTGTACGGGCGGATTACGCCTCCTTGCCGGGAGCCGCCGAGTTGACCCGAAGGAAGGAGACATCGGCCGCGCCGGCCACGATCCAGGTTGGCCGCCGCCCTTTCGAGGGGAGGGGACGGGGGCCGAGAGGCCGGCAGGGGTGGACACCCGGCGGCGGCCGCATTAACCGGGCTTTTTAACCCGCCGTCGCCAGGAGGCGACACATCACTTTTCCGGCAACGTATTTTTGTCTGACCTCACCCCTGGACCCCCGAGATACGGGGAGAGCCTGTCAGAGGCCCAGCCCGACCTGGCGGCGGTGGGGTGATCCATCATTTTGGTCCTTCGCGCGGCAAATTCCCGCCTGTGAAATGCTCCCGCGCGTTTGTCGGGCGCCCACATGCTTGAAGAAGGATATATATATTTATGTGAAACATCACCGTTTGTCCGGACTCCCCATTACCCTCGCCCCTGACCGACCCTACCCCCTTCTGCTGACGCCAGTCTGTCCCTCCATCTTTCTTTGCCTCTCTCTGTTGGGAAAGGTGCGATGTGGAGATCCACGAAACGGCCCTCGCCAGGCAGGAGGACGGGATCCGGGCGAAAGACAGGGCAGGGGGGGGGGGGGGGGGGGGGGCAGCTACGCCCCTCCTCTCACCCCCTCGGGACCGGTGCGGGGGCCATGTGCGCGGAATTCCTCAGCTGCCCAGGGCGCGAGGGGGG